GCTGGCTGAGGAATTCTGGGAGTTGAAGTCCACAAGTCTTAAAGTTGCCAAGGTTGGACACCCCTGGTCTAAAGCCAGCTGGATGACCTTGTTCCACCGCTCTCTCTCAGCCCTAGGAAGGAAGAGGCAAGGACAACCTTCTTCTAAAACCTTAGCAAGAAAACTGCAGAGACTAGTCCAGGCAGCCACCTGGCCTCAACACTCACTCAAAGTTGGTGGGTGGGTGGGTGGAGCCATGAATCATAGTTTATGAAAAACAATAGTTGCCGAGTTCAAGACGGCCAGAAAATAAAAATAAAAAACATTGCACAAACTTGTGAACAATTCTGCATAAATGATTATGACAGCATGGGAGGGACTGATGAGGATAGGCCTATTAAAATTCATAAAGTAATACGACTAGAATCATGCAAAACTATAATGTAGATTAGATATAGATCTGATCAGGGTAAATTAAGGAGTGAAATATGAAATACATTTTATTTAGATTTTGTCCTTTTCACCATTTTGTTATGTCTGGTCTTACTATTGCCTTTTATTTTGCATTTTGATGTTGCCTCACAGCCAATCAAATAATAATCCTCCAGCGAGGCACTACCTTGATGTGGTTGTGGGGCTGCAAGGAAAATAAGGACTACTTCAGAAGTACAATCTTAATGGACAGGTCTCACCAGAGAAGTCAAATGAAGAGTGTTTGCAATAAATAATATGACAAGACATATTTATAATCTCATAAATAACTTACAGAAACTACATACTGGATCAGTCACCATCAAGTCAACAAGGATTGTGCAAAGTGTTGGAGTTCCTGGAAATTGGTGACAAATTGGCTAGAGAGTTCAGGCGATTGGCTGAATAACTGGGGCCAGCAGCTGCAGAACTACTGGAAGGAAAGTTACCTACCTGTCCCAGGTGTACAAAGACTGAAAACAGAAATAATCCTTTGATATTACAAATCAAGTCCAGTGAAAAGACAAAAAAAGAAAATATCTGCAAAGAATACACCAGTTTTGGAAAGAACAATATCCAAAATCAGGAATAATAGAAAAAGTCTAGCAGATCAACCTCATTTTATAATATGAAATAAAATTCAGAGTACTCACAGAAACAATTGAAAGAATTCAAAGGTCAAAGAAATCAAAGCCTTGCCAGAAGTACACACAATAGTTTCACTTAGCAAAATAGTTTCACTTAGCACGTGTTTTTCAACTTTTTCTCAAGCAATTAATCCGAAGATATTGAAGAACTCTGGTCTAAAATGTGTTGATTCTTACTTGGTATCCTTCTACTGTTAGAGAGCTGATCGAGGGAAACGTGTTCCCAGGAATTCTGGACATGCCACAACAGACAAAGAGAGCTTTTCCAAGCTTGACTGCTGTCCTGGTGGACACAAGGATTTTAAACTAGTTGGAGTAAATTCTTGCAGCTCTTTGTTCCTGCTAAATTGAAAAATCAAAGGACATACGCGATGGGTTGACAATCCTGTTGGCAGATTTTTATCCCCCATTACCCCTCCTTGTGCTGTCTACAATTAGCTTAGTGTAGCACCTTAAATAATTATTGTCTGTGAACTGGACAGTCTATGTGATCTTTTTAGTATAAAATGTGTGAGGTTTCAAGGAGCTACAAGAATTGTTATTGTTTTTCTTGCACAGAATTAACACAACCATCTGGAAATAGTTAAGCCTTCTGGATTAAGAATGTGATTTTTAAAGTGTCTGCCACGCTTGGGTGTCAAAAGCCTCTCCATTCTTGGAGAGGCACAAGAGAAATTTGGTTCTTAACAAGGCAATTTTTCAATATTGTGGCTAAATCATACAGGACGTCCTTGACTTATAACCACAAATACCCCAAACTTTCCATTGCTAAGTAAGGCAGTTGTTAAGTGAGTTTTGCCCCATTTTATGATCTTTTCTAACAGTTGTTAAGTGAATCACTGCAGTTGTTTAGTGAAACATGTGATCGTTAAGCAAAGCTGGCTTTGCCCATTGACTGCTTGTCAGAAGTCAGCTACAAAGGTTACAAATCAGAGGTGGTATTCAGCAGGTTCTGACCAGTTCTGGAGAACTGGTAGCGGAAATTTTGAGTAGTTTGGAGAACCGGCAAATACTTCCTCTGACTGGCCCCGCCCCCATCTATTATCTGCCTCCTGAGTCCCAGCTGATTGGCTGGATCTTCTTTTGTTGCCCTGCATAGGAGAATGGAGCTGGAAACCAGGTTATTGGGGTGGGGAGGGAGTGGAGCTTTTGCAGTAACCTTCCCCCAGGAGTGGGGTGGAAATGGAGATTTTGTAGTGTCCTTCCCCTGCCACACCCAAGCCACGCCCACAGAACCAGTAGTAAAAAAATGTGAATCCCACCACTGTTACAAATGATTATCATATGATCCCAGGACAATGCAGCTGTCATAAACACATACCATTTGCCAAGCCCCTGAATTTTGATCACGTGAGCATGGGAATGCTGCAATGGTCATAAGTGGGGAAAATGGTCATAAGTCACTTTTTCAGTGCCACTGTCATTTTGAATGGTCACTAAACAAATGGTTATAAGTCGAGGCCTACCTGTAGTTCAATGATTTTCAAATAATGCTTGCGGGATTTCTGAAGTTATTCAGGAAATTTATCAGATTCTGTGTCACACAGCAGCAAATTGCAATCATCTTTTCAGAGGCAAAGTAGCTTTTCTTTACTCCCTAAATCCCAATTCTCCTTGTAGCGTGCAACAACAGAAGCCATCTCTTCAAGGCATGCTGGTCAAACCCTGGAACATAATAAGGCTTCAGCAGGGTGCAATTTTTGGCAGAAAGTTGGCTGGGGAAGCCTGGCAAACTGGCAAAAGGTTTGCAATCTGCTGCCATAGATGAATACTGGAAAGGCTCTTTACTAGCTTTTGGCCATCAACAATTAGTAGCAAAGAAAATGCCAAGGGTTTACTGAATGGAAATTTAGACACTGCAAATCTGAATACATAGAAATGGCACATCAGTCTTTCCATGCTGTGCTCTCTCAATCTTGCTGTTCTCTATTGAATCAGGAAAATCAAGGAACATATTATATTAAGTGCTACCAGTTAAGTCCACCTCTGAAATTATACATGAGCTCTTTATTTACTGCAGCTTTGTTCCCAACATAGATTCCATTGATGTATCATGCTAAACCATAATATGAAAGGCTGGATTTTGGCTCAACAGGATATATGTAAGCTATTCTGGTTTTTAAACCATGGTACATGACTTACTATTCTATGTGAGCAAACTACCAAGCTTATTCAACAAGCCATTATGAAGCCCAGTTTTAGTGCAGAACATGAATGCAACCTTTGGGTCTGTTTTTGTGTAAAGTAAAAGAAGCATGTGGTTGCAAGAAATAGTCCATCTAGCACAGTTTCAAACCTCCCATTTTTCCTTACAAGCTCTTGCCTCTTAAACCCCTTTCCTCTCTCTCACTCCTTGCTCCTGCTACCCCAGGCAAAATTACATGTTGTGGTTCCAAAAGAATGACCAATCAAATTTGTCTTAGAGAGGGAGACTGGAATTATCTTAAATAGGTAGGGTCAGTGTGACATCATGATTAACATGCTAGACCAGTGTTTTACAACCTTGGTAACCTTAAGATGATTCTACTTCAACTTCCAGAATTCCCAGTATGGTGACTGAGGAATTCTGAGAGTTGGTCCAGAGACCCAGAGATCAGGGAGACTGAAGATTTGAATCCTCCCTTAATCATGGAGCATAACATCGGATGTATTGCTATTTTCAGTCCCAATCTGTATCACAGGATGATTTTGGGAATAAAATGAGACATTCTTGCATATGCCACTAAGTTCCTGAAGGGAAGATGGATTAATAATAGTATCGGTAGCCATATCACATGCACCAAGACAAATTCTTTGTGTGTCCAATCACACTTGGCCAATAAAGAATTATATTCTATTCTATTTGGATAAGGAAACAGTAAATGGCTGAACTTCTTTCATTGTTTGTATACAAGCTCTTTTTGGCAACTTGAAATGCTTTGCAACAACAAGGTCATTTAGATCCAGTGGTTAAAAAAAGAAAGAAAGAAAGGTAACTTTGCTATTAAAAGTGATTCTAAGGTACAACTTCAATGAAAGAAGCTTCCTTGTCTCCAACCCAACCCCAATTTCCTTCCTGATTCCATGAGATAATGCTGCCTGCCTTGTTTGTCTGAATTTGTATGCTAAGAGAATGGTGTAACTGTCCATTGTTCTAGGCTTGTGAACAAGGCATATACAAGACGGAGTAATGTCAAGGCCTAATCACAGTAAGAGGAGATGCATTTTGACATCATTAGATTAATGTTAAAATTCACTCTGGTTTTTTGCAAAGGTTTTGCATGGATGCAGTTGAAGGGAGCTCAATTATTACATGATATCAGCTGATGGGTTTAGTGCTATTCCAAAATAAGGCTAAACTCATCTTCAAAAGCTCCTTGAACAACTGTTGGCAGGGGCAAGGAGAACTGCAACATAAAGCAGCATTAAAACTATTGTGTCTTCTGTGTTACTCTGTAGTTAGCTATCATCACAGCTGGGCAGTTGCAGCTCTCAGGCTGAGCCTGATATCCAAGTGAGAAATTGGCATAGGGATCTTGCAAGTATATGGAGGCAGCCTGACTTGAAAGAAATGGACTGTCTGGTTTGGTACTGCAACCAAACAGGAGAGGTACAGACTCCAACAGTTAGTTAAGACTGCAGAAACAATTGCAACCAACCTGCCTTCCATAGGAGTTGTGCAGATCAGAAGGAGGACTGAGAAAATATCTGCAGACCCCTCATCCTGGACATAAACTGTTTCAACTCCTCCCCTCGGGATACTGTTATAGGGCATTGCATGCCAAGACAATTAAACACAGGGACATCACCTAACTCTTACAATACTGTCTTATGTCTAAGTATATTTAGCCATGTTGCTTGGCTGTAGTATTATTATCCTTCTTATCTTCTTTACTACCTCCTCTTACTGGTATTATTATTATGCTTATTCTACCCTATTGCATGTATACCGAGAACTTCTGCACCAGAGACAAATTCCTTGTGTATCTAATCACACTTGGCCAGATAAAGCTATGCTGTCTTGTCCTGTCCTTGCTACTCAGAACAGAACAAGCCGGGAAGTACTGGAGCAGAAAGATGACCTGAATCAGCCTAAAATGGGTTTAGCTAATAGGCTAATCTCACTCATAAAAGTCCCCTGACTGTGGCATCATCAGTGAGTTGGTGAAACATGTCACACTGTATCCACACTAAAGCCTGTGTTGGAATCAGCAGCATCTAGAGCTAACTGCTGTACTATCAAAATGATATATGCACGGTGACATCATCACACAAATATGCTTACAGCAGATTAACAGAGTTGGAAGGGACTTTGTAGGTCATCTAGTCCAACCCCCCACCCAAGCAGGAGACCCTACACCATTTCTGACAAATGGCAGTCCAATCTCTTCTTGAAAGCCTCTAGTAATGAAGTTCCCACAACTTCTGAAGGCAACATCTGTTCCATTGGTTGAATGTTCTCACTGTCAGAAAATTTTTCCTTGTTTCTAGGTTGAATCTCTCCTTGATCAGTTTCCATCCATTATTCCTTGTCTGGCCTTTGGGTACATTGGAAAGTAGTTTAACCCCTTCCTCTCTGTGGTAGCCCCTCAAATAAAATTTATATCTTAACATAAATTTCAACATTAATATAATTACATAGTCATTGGTTCCTTTTGGCCCAGTCCTTTGCATGATCATGATCATTGGAATAAGGAGGAAAATATTCCTTCAGACTCACTCAAAAAGTCAATCATGCTGGGAGTAATGAGTGGAAAAAGGAGAAGGGGGTCACCCTCGTATCTGCTGGCTGGACATTATAAAGGATGACACTAGGATGGCCTTGGCAGATCTGAAGGAGGTGGTGTGTGATAGAGAGACATGGAGAGCGCTGGTCCATAGAGAAGCTGAGGGTCGGACACGACTGAATGGCTAACAACTATGACAATTCTTTCAGTATTGGTAAGGATCTAAGGATCACCTAGGACAGGGGAATCAGATGAAGGCAACATGACAAGGTAGAAACTTGGGCAGATCTGTGCTGCAGTGAAGATGCAAATGAGAAAGAGCTTCTTCCCACATTTATCTAGTTACATTAGCAAAACAGCCCAGCAGACAGCATTCCTATGGACATGAATATTAATGCTGGGATGCATCTAGTGTGTGGAATGCTAATGCTGGAATGCATCTAGTGTGAATTCAGGACTCTACATAGCTGTGAAGTTCATTACAAGGCAATTTTATAACCCAAAGATTTGAACATTTCCATTCATCTTTTCCCACAACTGAACTTCTTAAGATTAAATAACTGGAATTCTACCAAAGTCACTATTTTCACACAAGGATCCCCTCCCTGTGTGGCCGTTGTATTTGGGCATTAAAGGTGACCTGGAAAAGCAGGCCTGCTTGTTAGCTGTGTCCTGACCTCTGCACTTGTCATCATGAGATTGATGTGGAGGGACTTCTGAGAATCCCATGAATTGACTAGACAAACAGTATTGTCAAACTATAGTCACATCCACCTTGTATGCAGTTTCCTGGCATGTTACTGGAAAGATTTATCATTAACTTCATCTTGGGTGTTTTGCCCAATCTAGTCAACAATTCCCAAGTGATCCTTCTCCAGGTTTTAATCAGGGACAATCCTGTTTAGTTTCCAAAATTAGCAAAGTTCACCTAAATACTCTACCACCTACATTTGAGGGATCATACACAATCTAACTGGCTAAAACAATATCTTGGCCAAAGCATGCATACTTCATTGAACAGGATAGGGAGGGCAGGAGGAAGAAAAGTGGGTTAGAATCTGGAAGTCACAACTCTTGATTGCTATTGTCTACATTCTCCCAAATGCAGCTTTCTTTTTCAGTTAGTGCTGTCAGTGATGGTAGTACTATCAACAGCAGGTTTCACTGTGTCTGAGGCATCTGGCTGGCGTCTGGCTGACAGGATGCTGAGATAGCTGGATCATTGGCGTGGACCTGCCAAAGCTGAGTCTGGTGCTCTTTTCCTATGGCATTTGCATTTTGTTGCCTTTTTTAAAAAAATGGTACAGTAGTATTCTATTCTGTCTCAGCCGGAATTTGCTGTCAGTGCAATATTGTTCCAGTTCCCTGTCAGAAACAGCTGAATTAGGTCTCCTGAGTATTGATAAAGACAAACAAGGGCGAGTGGGTGGGGCAGATGGAAAAGCTTGCTATGTTTCAACAGGCTGTAACTTCTCTGAATTTGCCCAGAGATGGAAAGGAGTCCTTGGATATGGCCTTTTAATGAAAGTCTAGAGAACACAGCAGGAAGTTTGGTAATGGCCAGATGTGGAAAAGCTACTAGCAGAATATTAACTGCATGCAACAATTTTACTTATCTTGTACCATTGCACTATAAAATTAAAAGTGTAACATCAACTTTCTTGAGTTAGGTTTGCAATTCCACTTTAAAATCCAACTGCTATAAAACTGATTAGACATTTGCTTCTTTTGTTCTGCTTGATATACTAGTAATAGCTAAGAGTAGAGTTATATGAACACCCATTAAAATAATAGAGCTGGCATGAGCCACTCAGTCCATCACCTCTGGGGAACTGGTGGTGCTGCTCCCACAGTTTGGAAATGTTTTCATTTAAGTAAGAATAGAGCCCACCTCACCTGTGGCAGCAGAGGAGACCTGCTGCGGGGCCCCTCGGCCAGGGTAGTCCAGCTGTTGGGTTCCAGGAGAAGAGCTTTTTCTGCCACTGTGCCTTCCCTTTGAGACATCCTGCCCCCAGGATGGCTCCAACCAGGGGTGGGATTCTACCAGTTCGCACCTATTCGCTAGAATCGGTTGTTAACATTCTAAGCAGTTCGGAGAACCTGTTGTTAGAAGAAATTACTGGCCTAATCCTGTAAGGAAGGCAGGAAGGAAACATTCTGGTGTTGCTTACAGAAACTGCCTCTCCGTTAACCCTTATTACATTCTTGGCAGGACTAGAGTTCCTGTCTTAGGAACTTCTCTGGAGTTCTTTTCACCTTCTTTGCTGATACTTTGCTTGTGTGGAGTGACCATTCAAAGTTACAATAGCACTGATAAAAGTGACTTATGACCATTTTTCACACTTACAACTGTTGCAACATCCCCACAGTCATGAGAGGCCAGGCAAGGAGATGCGTGCCTCAATGTGAGTGATATTAAGTTGGCCACACCCAGCCAATAACATGACCACCAAGCCATGTCCACCCAGTCACGTGACCACCAAGCCACACCCACCACCTAAGCCATGTCCACAGAACTGGTTGTTAAAAATTTGAATCCCATCCCTGGCTCCAACCCTTCTTACCTTCCATAAGAACTTCAAGACTTGGCTCTGCCAGTTGGCTTGGGGCTCCTCCAATGGAGGGATTTTATATTGGGATTGCTGGTAGATTAGCAACAGATCCCATCCTCTCCCCTTCTCTTCATATTCCCTCACCTCCTCATCTTTTTAGCTAGGTTGATTTCATAGTATTATATTTATATATTTATATTATTATAAATTATACAGTTTTATCTTTTAATATTGTACACCATCCAGATTTGCCATGTGACAAGATGGATAGCTAATAAATTTTACAAACAAACAAACAAACAAATAAGAAGGCTGTAGGACTGATAGAAAGGGATAGTTGTGCAATGGCAAAATAAACAAACCATGCTTATATGTGAAAACATCCAGGTTCAATCCCTGGTATTGTTTAGCCAAAATTGGAGAATCATTGGCAATCAGAACTGTATGGAAAAAGGTTTTCCCAAAATCTAGTTCTCCTTTGCCATTATCCGTTCGTGTTTTTAATATGTCCTTCACTTATTTACAACAATTATTAGCCTCTCCAAAGCCTTTTGTTGTTTGTACAGAGAAATATCTTTGTCATAGTAGAGAACTTAAGCCTTAACTTGAATCATTTTTGGGTGTGTGCCTTCTGGCAACTATCTGGACAAGCCCACATAGTTTTTGTGACTATAATCTCAGAAGCAGTTTCTGTTACTGCCTTCTTAGGGATAAGAGTGGATGACTGACCAAAGGTAACTGGCTGGTTTCAAGGCTCACAGTGTAAAACTCACATTTTCTTAGTTGTTACTGGTGCATTTTATCACAACGTTAATTTCACTTGAATCAAGGGCTATCTTTGGACTCTTTGTTCTTGTGTGAAAGGTGAGAAATTGGAGATCCAGCAAGTTAGGAAAGGAAATGTCCCTGCAAGATATATTTTTGACA